ATCGTGGCAATAAATCATTCACTTTATTAACCGGCTGGCTTAAACATTAAAGGGAATTCGCCTGTATAATGTACAGTCAGAATGACTTTCCATTTGCGACTGTGACTGGTGGCAAATACTGTTGTTAACCACGTGACTGTAGTAAATTACTAGTACGTTCAAACAAAAGCCCGGAAACATATGTCGGCCGGGATATAAACGTAACTAGTAGTAAATTTCAACATCTCCCCATCACACCCATCCGTTTGCAATTGTCAGCAGTTCAATCACAACCTTTTGTGTTTTGCAGTTTGTTATTTCAGTTCAATGAGTTGCTCTTTTCGCTTGTTTTTTTTTTCAAGCATCAAACAGTGCCAAATTTGTCTCTTCTTTATTTTTATTTCATTACATTTTTATAGTTTTATTAGAGCAATGGATGTTTCGCTGTTTTCATTTCGTGCAATTCCAGGTGCTTTTATTTGCTAAGGGGACTTTCGTCCAGTTTGTTTTTACCAAATTAGAATGTTTAGTAGTGTTCTAGGACACATTGTTTTAGAACCTGGGTTTTTAGTAGTAGTGGCACTACCCCTATTGTTTCCCAAACATCTGTTCGACGTGACTGTCCTTATTTACCATTACCCATCACAATGTTGTTTTCTAGCGACAGACGAGGAATAAACACGCCAGCATCACACTGGAAATGTGAATTCATCTCAAAACTAAGTGAATCAAATAATGTGCACAGTCATTGTACAATGTATCTATCTATTATAATAGTGGAAATATGGCACAATGATGCCCACCACGTGCCTAATCACCTGACAGCTGATATAAAGTAGATCGATTATCATTAAATAATAGTATAACTGGTCTCATTAATCTTCTCATTATTAATGTTCAGTTTTCTGCATGGAAACACCCCCCCCACACGGCCCAAATGTACAGTGATACTTTAATATCTATTTACTGATCACGATAACTGGCATCGAGATCACGCGATGTCCGAAGTTTCCGGGTTCAAATCAAATCCAAATATGTAATTATGTTGACATACTAGGTGTGGTGCATTGTATCACCAGTTGCATAGTACGAAAATAAGGAAATTATCCACACTTCACGTAGTCACAATGTATAAAGGTTTCGATTACAAAATACGGAGCAGATTCACAACACGGATTTATTATACTGACCCGAACAACGAGATTACAAGACAGAACATACCAGAATGTTTATTCACATAATATATAATGTATAACACAGAATGACGCAGTACATGTATAAACTCCATAATTGTTGGTATAAATGTATAACATTTCGAAATAATATCAAATCTTGATATACTTATCGATCCTGGATTATAGCATCCAGATCTTTTTGGAAGCCTACTCATCATGATAATAAAAATGATCGAATTTTATCTATTTTGCAATATCATGTTATTTGACAGGTGGAACAGTATCGGGATTTCTTCTGATGCGGGAGGGGGTGCAAACATTACTGTCACCGCAAGAAAGAATGGAACGACACCATTCAACTTTTAGTTATAAAAATATAATGTATATATAAAAAGTTACATCATTTTAACTTGAACGCTGCAGGTTACCATAAAGATCGACGGTTAAATTTAAATTTGTCTTGGGTAATAAAATGGCAGTGATAAACACTACTTTTGTGCTGTGCATGTTATCAACAACCGCCACCCCACCCACAATGTACACAATGTTAACTGTTTTATCTTTTTATTAGTAGTCATATATTAAACGACATTCAATAACATAATAATCTCAGATTTAAGTACCAGATAAAGGTGGAGTTTTGGAATTAAAAAAACCTTCGGTAGAGGGCAGTGCTTGTTGGTATGTGTTCGCCGTTTCAATAATTTCTTACACAATTCAACAACAGGCACGCGTAACTCGGGTACTTGTAAGCCGCCAAGACATAGATGTACCAAGAGTGGACCAAAGGATTATTTAAAGTAATGTTAAAGGTTAAAAAATAATAATAATAATAATAATAATAATAATAATAATAATAATAAAACGCAGAGGTTCATGGGTAAAAACTTGTTTGTAAACAGTGACACTCCATGGCCGTCTTCCGCATGCACAGGTGACGACTGCCCCTGCTTTAATGACCAAACTAAGATTAAAACGCGGTAGTCGTCACATGTGCGAGATAAATGGCTGTTTATGGTGAGCTAGGAAGGTACCCCATTGAC